AATAAGCTTGTGCGGCCACTACTTGTCTGATTCTCAGACAATTAGCTTTTTAAACACCTAAAATCAGTCTAAAAAAAATCTTGAAAAAGACACAGTTCTATTAATGAGGATTCAAACACAAACAGGAACTTGTATAAGTAAACAATATTTAAAAAAAATAAACACATTAAAAAATAAATAAATAAGGAAACAGCATCAAAAAAATCAATAAAGAGTTTTTTCACTCTCTATACTTTGCACAAGATCAGCCTTCATTTCTCTCATAACTAAGCAATATTGACTCATTTTTGATAAGATTGGCTTAGAATCATTTTTTTTAGAATCAATGACTCATCAGAGAGGGCAATTAAATTAGTTAAATAACTGGCTGGAAAATCAACCAAAAAAAAAGAAAAGACAAGATTTGTTCTCGCTTAACCATGTTTACAAAAGAAGTAAGCATGAGGAAAATAACCAATTTAGCTTCAAAAGCAACTAATAATATTTTAAATTGTTGAAAGTTAATATTTTAGTAAAAGTCTAATACTACAATTTTTTCTCATTCATCCTCGTCATTCATCCTCGTGCAACTTAAAAGAAAGATACATGTTTTCTTTTTTATAAGCATAACGTTTATAAGCATATGGAGGCTCAGATTTGGAAAAAAAAAAAAGCATATGTAAGCATATTCCTGAGCCTTGATAAACCATTTAAAAAATTCAAATTTTATTTATTTTATTATTTCATTGATAACATTTGTATATAGTATATATTTTTTATTTTTTATTATACTGTACTAAAGTCGAGTTTTTATTTTTCTTATAACCATTAAACTTTAGTAACGCACGCATTTTTAGAAAGTATTGAAATAAGCATATTTTATTATAAACATGCTTAAGCTTAAGCACATTTTTGAGCCTATTTTAACTTTTTGCTTAAGCATACCTGAGCTTGTTTCAAAAATTTCATATGCTTATAAAAAAAAAAAACATGTATATTAATATTAATATCCACCTTACTTTAGTATCTTCTTAGGGGAATATCCACCTTACTTTTGTAAAAAGAAAGGTATATTAATATTAATATCCACCTTACTTTAATTTCTTCACTAAGTTTAATATCTAAAATAATATAACATATTTTAATAGCTTATTTATAATTTTAATAAACTGGCTAGATTTTGTAATAAAAAAACAACAACATAGAAATAGAGAAATTTTTTTAAAAACTTTTTTTAGTGTTGAGAAATAAAATATATAGATAGAAAAGTTTTTTGTATTTGTGAGAATATATATTTAGAAAAAAAAAAATTAATTCAGTAATGTTTAAGGGTGGCATATATGGGGTTGAAAAACAATAAGGGTAAAAAAAAATGTATTTTGAGGTTGCATACTACACTTAAAATTAAAAAAAATCTTATATATAAAACAAGAGTCTGGCTAGCTTAAAAGCTTCAGCTCTTTTCTGAAAAAATCACCTTTATTTGAACCACCCTAATAAACAGTCATCAACCCAAGTACTTAGACAAAAAAAATTACTAAAGAACCCTAGCCTAGTTTTTTAAAGGGAAATGAAAACCAAACAATGAAGTGAAGTGAAAGTGAAAGTACGTAGAAGAATAGTTAGAAAAAACAAAGATTTTAACCTGGTTTCATAACAGATAGTAGAATTAAAACATAAATACATGTCTAGGTTAAGCACAAAACTATTAAAGAATTGAAACATAAATACATGTCTAGGTTAAGCACAAAACTATTAAAGAATTGAAACATAAATACATGTCTAGGTTAAGCACAAAACTATTAAAGAATTGAAACATAAATACATGTCTAGGTTAAGCACAAAACTATTAAAGAATTGAAACATAAATACATGTCTAGGTTAAGCACAAAACTATTGAAGTCTTTTCAAATAAAAGAATAGCAATCAACACTATGATTTGAAAGCTGAACTTAAACTAGTCTCAAAGAAGACAAGTAGAGTACATTTTGTAAAAGATTCTATAGAAAAAAAATTTCAAAAACTATGATTATTTTAGAAAAATTTTTTTTTTAAATTTAATATTTTTCATTAAATTTCATTGTTTAACTAACAACCTGATATTTTCATTGCTAAAAACTTCAAATGCAAAAGACACTTCACTGATTTGTTTTTCAATAGCATGAACTTCTGCCCAAACTTTCTTTAGTTGATTTGCATACATTTTTCTACTTTCAACAATCTTTGCATTCAAACTTTTCTAAAAATAAGAACTATTATTGACTTTGTTTTTCCATACAGGTCATTCCATGTCAATAGGGGAGGATTATAACTGAGGTGAAAAAGCACGTTTTTTTACTTGAAGTACCTAAATCATGTGACATTGGAAAAAAAGAACAAGAAAGCAAGAATAATTTCTGTAATAATATATGTTCCTTTTAATACACAACAGTTACAAAATTCTCTAACAGCCACGAGTTGACTCAGTTGAGAGTTGAAATTCGCTGCAGTGCTTTCAAGATGGCAGATGTTTTTTACAATGGTAAAACAAAATACAAACAAAAATTAATGAAAGTATTAGAATAAGAAAAAAGAAAATGTAAAAAAAAAGTACATGAAATGACAGATTAAGTAAAACAGATAAATAAAAAGAAAAGTATAGAAAAGTAAAGTATTTTTATTGGTACTACCTTTTATTAACATTTATTGTTGTTAGTTTACTTTATTACATGAAATGTTTTGTTTATTATGTTTTTTTTTGTAAGTTTTTGTTTGTTGTAAGTTATTTTGTTTTGTAAAGTGTTTTTTGTTTGTTTCAGTTTATTTTATTTATTTGTTTATTATTTTTGTAATGTATTTTGATTATTATATTACAACAACAATGATTATTATATTTACTAAGTCTTTAAAATTTTTTAACAATAGTTATTTTTATATCATCGTTAGTTGTTACGTTTTGTCAGTTTATTACTGTTTGAAACTATAACAATGTATAACAATTTTATTTGGTGTTACATTACTCTTATTAAGTGAATATCTTTAATTATGTATGATATATAGTATTATTATTGTTATTAGTATTTTCAATTTTATCTATTATTATATTATTGTCATTAATATCAGTTGTTTACTTCAGATAAGTTTCTAACTATTTATAAATGTCCTTGAATTGTAACAACTTTTGTGTTTAGAAATATATATTAAACCGGCTACAGCTGAAGCAGTTGAACCAATTGAGCATTTTTTGACATTCATTAAGTTTGAAAGTCACACTGGAAATGGATTATCAAATGCATTACTGGAGTTCTTGGAGAAAAATAATATTTTCAACTGTCATAGTCAGATGTATGATGCATTGAATATGTCTGCAACAATAAAACATTTGTATTTGCAACAATACCTTGCAATTCTTATGTAAAAAATATTCTTATATAAATTTTCTAAAAAATATAGTAAATAATATAAATACATTTAAATAACTAAAATAATATATTTTTTAAAAACTAAATAATATATATTAAGGTGTTAATTTAAATAATGTTTTAAAAATATATATTTATAAATGATAAAATATATAATAATGTTTAATACTTGTACTGCAACCATTTCAGGGAGAATTTTTTTTTTCTTTTCCACTGTTACTTCTAACATTTTCTTCAAATCTTTTTTTTCTATAAAAACAAATTAACAGAGTTAACAACTCACTGTATTCAATTCATTTAACTCACCACCTAAATTTTTCTATTAAAATGAAAAACTAAAATTACTACTAAATTTTTTATACAAAAAATTTCTAAATAAATTTTAATAACTTATTAGTTGTTCTATATTAAAAGATTGAAATTTATTGTAACATTTTTAGTTTAACTGCTCCAGGTTTTTTTTTTTATTCTTTCTTTTCATCTTTCAAATTTCACAAACCTTGACTAACATAAAGTTTTTATATTAGTCAAGGTTTGTGTTTCAGAGTTATAGGATTAAGAGAGTATTATAACCAGAACTAAAGTAGCCTTCTCATCTGCAGAGGCCTTCTCGGCCTTGGGGAGGTGAAGTAACATAACAAAAAAAAAAGAAACTTTGCTTAAAAAAAACTGTGTTTATAAATAGCTGTAAAAATTGATATGAAATATTTGCAAGAAAAAAAATTTTTAATAAAATTTACTATAAACATAAAAATATGGAAAAACACACCAATCAATTGATTTTTTAGGTGATCAAGCTCAACACTAACTTTTGAAAATTTATTTTGAAATTCAACATAGCTTGGCTGAAATGAAACATGCCAATTAAAATGCATACTATATAAATCACATATCCAGGGCCACATTTACCTATAGGCCAACTAGGTCACAGCCTAGGACCCCAGAATTTCAGGGGTCCTGCAATGGGTTCAAAAAATGCTTGCTAGAGTTATTAGAGAGTAATTTAAAAAAATTACTTTCTTGATTGTAACAATTGCTACACAATTTCCTCTGGACAATTATTAGCATTTTGTTAATCATTATCCAGAGGAAATTATTTTGTAGCATTTATTACTATCATGAATGTAATATTTTTTAATAACTCCCAAACAATCATTACCAATTTCAAAACAATCATAAATGATTGCAAAACTAAATCCTTTGTAGATTAAATCTGCATAATGGAACTCTAGAACAAATCTATATAAAAGTCACAGCGCTAAACTAAAGAATTGAAGATACAAAAGCAAACAACAAACAGTTCTATATATACTATATAATGCTATATATACTATATAATGGTTTTTCATTCAAAATATTTTTGAGTAAATCTGGCCCTGCACATATCTTTATTCACAATATATATATATATATATATATATACATAGAGTGCTCAATGTTCTTAAAAGAACAGAGCAATTATAAAGTAGTAGAAAATTACTTAGCAAAAATTTTTTACACTAAACACTGTGTTCATCATTAAAAATTCATCAGAAATTCATCATGAAAAAAAAAAAGAAAAAAAAAATTTTGCTAAGTAATTTTCTACTACTTTATATACATGTGTATATATATATATATATATATATATATATATATATATATATATATATATATATATATATATATATATATATATATATATATATATATATATATATATGTATATATATATGTATATATACATATATATATATATGTGTATATATATATATATATATATATATATATATATATATATATATATATATATATATATATATATGTATATATATATATATATATATATATATATATATATATATATATATATATATATATATATATATATATATATATGTATATATATATATATATATATATATGTATATATATATATATACACACACACACACAAACGTACAAATAATAAAAGTAATATACCAGGGCTTGATCAAATTCATCATTTTTTTCAGCAAGTTCTTTTTCTAACATTGATGTATTAAGCTATTTTTAAATAAAAAAAATCAGTTGCAAGTAAAACTTTCAATAATTTATTATTTTTACACATTAAGCCAGTATTGTGCAATTGCTTGCATCTTTTTTTAATTTTATCATATACTAACACATTAGGCGTAGTATTGTGTAATTGCTTGCATATTTTTTCAATTTTATCATGTTACTACCACATTAAGCCAGTATATTAAAATATTTAATAAAATGATACAAGTATTATAGAATTGTAAAATAAAGTTTGTTAAATAAATACAAAAATGTTAAAATTTAATAAATACGAAACAAGTTTAATTAAAAAAAATAAACTAGTTGATCAGTTAAAAAACACAAAGACACACAAAGCTTTTGCTTGCTTTTACTAGGAGATGAATAAAAAGATTTTGAAAAATAAACACTTTTGATTGATAAGCATTATTAGCAATGTAAACTAATCTCAAACAATCTCAAGAATGTTGATTACTTTTCAGATTTAGATTTAGTTTTTTTTTCAATTTTTGTTAAAGAATATTGGAAAAAAAATAATTCTAATGAATAAATAAAATATAGCAAAAACATTTGCTGTTATTACATACACATGAATATAATGATGATGTAACAAATAAAGATCAAATTTATTGACAATTTACTTGATGAAAAGTTCTGGTAAAGTGAAAGAAAAGACTATAAAATAGGACATAATTTAGCTCAGTAAAATTGATTTTCTTTTCAAACTCCATTAAATATAAGTGATGTTTAAAGTGGTTTAGCAACATTTCTTGAAGTACGTAAAGTTATAAAACATCTAAAACAGTATCATACTAATTTTTTTTTATTCGGGTGATACTTTGGTGTAATTTGTATAAACCATCATCAAACAGGCATAAAATACCAATTTCAAAACCGTTACAAAATAAAAATTAAAAATTATAAAGGAGCCATAAAAAAGACAATGTCAATAAAAATTGTTTTGTTTTTTTATGATTTTCTTAAATAGTGGTCTCCAACTATTTGAAGCAACTTTTACCCTGTTATCCCTATTAAGCAGTACTGGGAATTGTGTAACCTCCTGAGATGTTTGCGCATAGTTAATTTCAAATGATTCCGTTATTTTCCTTTCATAATAGTTGTTATTTATAGATAAAGTTTTTGGGTGCAGCCAGTTGAACATCCCATGGCATTCTTTGCAATGCTCAGTTCAGCACCAGAAGCATGCTAACTGCCATTCATGCTATAAGTTTGGTGTTCTATGCTTCTTTGCAAAATTCTTTTTTTTTTTTTTCCAAATGTAAATTCCCTCACATGAACACGTAAGCTTGAACACCCCAGGGTAATGTAATGTTTTAAAATTTAAGATGTGCTGTGCAAATTCATTTAAAGAGATTTTTTTAAGAAAATAATTAAAATCAATTTTTAAAATGATTTTACAAATTAAAACAATTACAAAAAAATATGTAACTTTGAGCCAATGGAATTTGCCAATGTTTAAAAAAAAACTGTCAAAATGTAACTAATAGTAAACAGTAAATGAAATCATAAGCAAGCAATCATAGTTAAATGATGTTTAATAACAAATTATACTATTTGTTATTAGCTTTCATAAACATTTTTTTAGGGGGTGATAAAAACTTTAACACATAATAACTAAAATAAATGCAATTTAAAAGTTTAATATGAAGAATAAAATAATTTTTATTAAAAGTTATTACTGATTTTAATCTTATTTTTTCTGTTAAGTTTGAATACATCTTCAGATAATTTTCTTTGAGATAAATTAACTCTTCTTTTTTTTCTTTAATTTTTTTTTCGGCTTCTTTGAACTCAAAACACAATAAAATACTCTAAAAAAAACAAACATATTAATTTCTTTATTTCAGTCAACTGAACAATTTATTTAAAAAAATAAATAAAATCAAACTGAGATTAAAGTGCCTAAAGTTTTTAGAAGTTAAAGGACAGAGGTTCAATGCCTGCTCTGACCCTAAAAAGGACATAAGTGACAAGTAACAATAAAAACCACTTCAATACATAATCTTTCATGATTCTCTGTGAAAAGATATTATAACTATTATCTTTATGAAGCACCTTTTTAATGTAGCACTTTCATAGAAAAGCTTAATAACCAAAAAATAAGGTTTTACTATTCTATTTCTAAATTTTATGTTCTGAAGTTTTTATTATTTATACATACTATGCCTCTTGCTAACTATTCCATCACTATGCTTTGCCTCAAACCCATGTCATCTAGATTTTGGTCCATTTTTTTTATACTTAATTCTTTTAAATACACTCATGGCATTTCTCTATTATACTTTTATATAATAATAAATATTTTAGTTTATTAAGATTCAATTAACAAGAGTCAGTAAAACAGCTTTATGACATTAGTTAAAATTTTTTATGTCTCAGGATCTTGTGAGAGCCAAAAATTTAAGATATTGTATGTCTCAGGATGTTGTGAAAGTCAAAACAATGAAACTTGTACAAAATGCCTTAAAAGCAATAAAAGTAGAGTTATTGATGTACTTTAATTTTTACTATATATTGTATTAAAAAATATATTTATATAAAAATATATTATAAAAAAATATATTTAATACTAGAAATAAGTCCTAAATTAGGCCTGAGTTAAACTCAATATTTAAATTTTTTTCCTATTCTCTATTATTCATTTACATTTTAACATTTTTTTGCCCAGAGCTTACCTTAGAAAAAATTAGTTATTGAGCATTTTACCTTACGCAGAGCTTACCCTAGAAGAAACTAGTAATTGAACATTTTACCTTATGCAGAGCTTACCCTAGAAGAAATTAGTTATTAAACATTTTTTTGCCTAGAGCTTACCCTAGAAGAAATTAGTAATTGAACATTTTACCTTACGCAGAGCTTACCCTAAAAGAAATTAATTATTGAAAATTTTCCCTTATGCAGAGCTTTCCCTAGAATAAATTAATTATTCAACTTTTTTTTGGCCAGAGCTTACCCTAGAAGAAATTAATTATTGAACATTTTACCTTACGCAGTGAGACTAATTTTATTTCTGATGCACAAAGTGTCTTTGTACACAAAGAATTGAACATAAACATCTGATAGCTGTGACATAAAATACAAACAAGGTATTTAGATGTAGTTTTTATTATTAGAACAGTGATACATGTTCTTAAGGACAGACAGGTCCATAAAATATAAAAAACTCTGACAGCATGCCCTACAATCATAAAATACATGTGCTTGATAATTTACAAAAAATATATATATTACTATTATATAAAATACCACAGTTATAAAACAAAAATTAGTTAGAACATTATTTTTCAAAGTTGATAGAGTTAACGTTAATTTTGAAGCTTTTGATATTTTTGACATTAATGACATCAGACGGCAATTTATTCCAAATACTAACAGCTCTGAGTGAGAAAGAGTATTTACAGACATCGAGTTTACACTTTTGTTAGCATAATTTGAATTTGTGACCTCGAGTGTAAATATAATTATTTATTAAAAAGATTTAGGAAAACTAAATTGTTCAGAACTTTAAAACATGTAACCATGTCTTGCTTATAGTTAATTGCAGCTTTTTTAAGTTTTTTCTTAACTGCCTATTTTGATATTTAATTGTGTTCCTTCTATTCTAATAAGTACTGGGTTAATACCATCTTGTTTGAAGTATTAAAAATTTATTATATATGTCTACTTTGAGTAAATTTTTGTTAGTCATTTTTTTGGAGGTAGAACATTCACGTTTATGAATCTCCATATACCTCAAATGATTTTCTGAAAATCTTATTTAAACCTCATTTGTTTTATTTTGTTCAACAGAAGATTTAAATTAAATCTTATAACTGAACATCTACTGAAATCACATGTTTAACCAAGTTTTTAAAAAAGCAACCATAATACAAAACTATATACACCAAATAATTAAAAAACACACTGCATAAGTTTTGAATTACTGCAAATCAAAGTTTAGTATAAAAGTTTGTAAAAAAAAAATGTAGAAAATACTTCTTCACTTTGTTTATGACACTGATCTTTTCCAGTATTAATTAATAGTGCTGCATCTTTCACATACTCAGTAAACTCATTGATATAATCCTCTCCCTCTTTGCTTAATGTGCTATGTTGAGTTTGAAGAATCTGTCTACAATGTAAATATAATTGTTTCTAAGATACAACAAAACATTTAACAAAAGTAAAAAGATTATGTAAAAAAAGTTGCCTCTGCTTTCTTTCCAATACCAATCTTTGCTGAAGACTTTGAAATTCTTTATTTAGCAATGTGGTAGCTATGCTAATTGAATAAAAATAAACCATTGAAATAACTTTTTATTACAATTATTCAGGTTCAGTCATATATTCATAAAAAAAACTCTTTATTTATTTTTTTGTGGGAAAATGTTTCTAGATTAAAATTTTATTACAAATAAAATAAATTAGACAGGCATTAAAATATTTCCAAAAAAATTTTTTTTTAAATTTAAGTAACATTTTTGTATTAAGTGTTGCATTAGACCATTTTTGGATAATTATTGGAATAAAAAAGATAAAGATCTTTTTGCTTTTTTGAAAAGTCATAAAAAATTTTCCATTGCTTTGCCTTATTTTAGTAAATGTTTTATTTTTTTCATATTTTATCTGCTTTTCATACATTACTTTTTTCATATTTTATCTACTTTTTATACCTTACTTTTTTCATATTTTATCTATAAAAAAAAAATAGTTATCTAAAAAAAATGAATTTACTTAGTAACTATATTTTGTGAATATTTTAGGTAGTTTACACTGAATGAAGCTTGTTATTTAATATTTAAAAAAATTAAGTTTGAATCCTTTTTTTATTTACTCACAAAAAGTTTTAAGATGAGAAAGTTATGTGGCATATGACTAAACTCAAATCTGAGCAGGAAAATTATTGAGTGATCTATTGGTAAGTGACCACACATACCTTGTATATGAGTGACTGCACATACCTAGTAAAACATTCTACTATTGTACTCATGCCTCTCATTATCAAAAATGTTCTCTTGTTCCTCTTGTTATAAAAACTGGTGACATCACAAAGTGCTCAACCATGAATAGATGAAAAATAAGAAGTTGCGAAAAACTCCTGTTGGAGCCTTAGAGACTCTAGTTGAGCAAAAGTTTTCAAAAATTTTAAGACATATTTATAACTGCAATAAGAAGGTTTAAATAATTTTCATGTATGTATTTTATATTTTTATGATTCTAAGTTTTTCTGCAAATCTAGAGTTTTATGTAACAAAAATACTTATTTGTATGCAAACCATAAATTTAACATGTTTCTTTTTTTAAAATCTTTATTTAACATGTTTCCTTTTTTTTTTAATCTTTAACAAATGTAATGAAATCTTTAACAAATTTAATGAAATCTTTAACAAATGTAATGAAATCTTTAGGAGAGAACTCAATATTTATGTAAAAATCATTAGTTGTACAAGTTTATCATTAAGGAATCAATCAAAAAGACTGTTGGACAAAAGTTAAGTTTATCATCAGAATTAAATGAATCTTAGTAAGACAAGATCAAGATCTAGTTAGGTAAATACCATAAAGCTATGATTCTTCATACATCTTTTATGCATAAAATATAAAAATTTTTTTTTTTTTTTGTCTTTGCATGAAGGTTCTGTACTTTAAAAACGTTGATATAAAGTAATTTTCTTAGTTCACAACCAAAAGTGTTTAATTTTTTTTTCTTTCTTCAATCATTTTCACACATGCCTAACAAGGCTTTCACACATGTTAAACACTCTTTCAAATCACATCACATTACACATCTATTTCACATCACATCGCATTACACATCTATTTCACACAAAAACAAGCCTCTTATCTTACACAACAAACATGGTTAAAAAATATTTTTGTTAATTTTTTAGGATTCAGGTATGGTTTTTGTTGAGAACTTGATGTAAATGAACTATTTCTGACACTTGTTAAACCAAACTAAATTAGTTCAAGAGAACATTTTATTTTTGAGATATATTTTTTTAAATACTGAAATGGTAATTTTCTTGTCAACAAATGTTTTAAAAAGTTTGAGAAAACCATGCTGTGACCCTATAAATAGTTCCATGCATATGTGAACAGTATCATTAAAAAGGACTGTTTATATAAAAAACAAAATTATAATAATATTGAAAAAATTTTTTTTTACATGTGATCCTGCAAAATTCGCTCAACAGATGCTTGCAGCTCACCATTTTCACGTTTTAATTTTGCACATTCTATTGACTGATTTGAAAAATCGTCTTTAACTGACCATAAACTAAAATTTATTAAAGTTATTCAGAGTAAAAATCGAAATCAGATGAAATCTACCCAATCCTATGTAACTATACAGCATAATTATATAAAATATTATATATATATATATATATATATATATATATATATATATATATATACATATATATATATATATATACATATATATATATATATATATATATATATATATATATATATATATACATATATATATATATATATATATATATATATATATATATATATATATATATATATATATATATATATATATATATTTATATATATATATATATATATATATATATATATATATATATATATATATATATATACATATATATATATATATATATATATATATAAATATATATATATATATATATATATATATATATATATATATATATATATATATATATATATATATATATATATATTATTAACTATATTATAGCATCAGAAATAAATCATTAAAAATAAAAGATGATTTATATATTCAGCTTTTATTTTATTCATAATTTTTATTCATAAAATGAACAAGTAATTACTTTAATAAAACTTTCAAATTTTGAAATTAGGACTATTATTATATGGGTCTCATTCTTCCAGTTTAAAAGATTTAAAGTTAACTAACATTTATTTACTTTGAAAAATACTTGAAAAATAACATTTGAAAAATACTTGAAAAATAACAAGTAGTAGTAGTAGTAGTAGTAGTAGTAGTAGTAGTAGTAGTAGTAGCAGTAGTAGTAGTAGTAGTAGTAGTAGTAGTAGTAGTAGTAGTAGTAGTAGTAGTAGTAGTAGTAGTAGTAGTAGTAGTAGTAGTAGCAGCAGCAGTAGTAGTAGCAGTAGTAGTAGTAATATTAGTAGTAGTAGGTACTACCAAGGATGTGTCGTATACCAGGAATGTGATATGCATTGAAATCAGAACACTTTGTTTATGAAGAGAGGGCTTTTTCACTGCACCACTACTACATATCTTGTAAATCTTTTAGTAAGTTAAAAAGAACTGTTTGTGAGGTATCTCTAAAGTAACATTATATATCTAATTGTTTGTAATAGCTGTTTCTAATGGCTGGTGAATTATATGACTGATGAGTTATATGGCTTCAGAGTTATATAGCCAAGGTTAACAAAAAAAAATTATTGTAAAAGGTCCCTTCTATAATAATTTTTTTTTGTATAAATGAGTTTCTCTACAAGAGAAACTCATTTATACAAAGTAATAATTACATAATTAATTTGATACCTTTTTAATGCTTCTTCAGCTTTAATACTTTCTTTTTTTCCAGCACTGAGGGCATTTTCCAGAACTAAATAAAAAACAATGTTTAGTACATAAAGCATATTGAAATCTTTTTAAAAATAATAACAAATCTATAAATAAACAAATAACAAATTGATAAATTGAAAAAAAGATGCAACTAAATTTAGTCATTATTGAAAAAAATCTTAACATTAAACAATTTTAACAAAATATGTAGTGTAAAACATAACAAAATATGTAGTGTAAAACATAACAAAATATGCAGTGTAAAACATAAAATAAAGCAATCTTTTGATGAGATCAAAAGTAAACATTAAACATTCCTACGAGTCAAAGTCTTTTCTTTATCTGCTAAAAGCTTTTTCTGCTCACTTTTTGCAGCCTTAATTTGTTCATCCAACTATAAAATAAATAAGAATATAAAAGCTATATGAGGGATAAATTGACATCAATGACATGAAAGCCAATCAAAAGATTAGCATGTTTAAATGGGAATACAATCAACAAAAAGATCAGTATGTTTTAATAAAGTTAACCAAAGGATAAGCATGTTTGAATGGTTACTTTGAAAAAATTGAAAAAAAAATCGAATTATAAAAACAAGCTAAAAATAAATTCATTGACCGATTGTAATTGATTGCAGATCTCATCTTTTGAAACTTGAAACTCCTCTTTAATTTTTGAAATAGCTGCCAGAGTTGAATTTCTAGAATTTATATAAATATAAAAAGAAATTATTTGAATTCACTAGTATAAAACTAAAACACTGATATAAAGCCCACTTCACTGTGATAAAAAAAGGATAAACTCAAAAATTTTTCTTGAATTGTAAAACAAGTAATTGTAGAAAAGACTGATTCATAATAAACTATAACTTCATAATATCGCAGGAAAGGCTATTCATAATAAACTATAACTACATAAAATTATTTATAAAAACAAATAAGTAAAAATATAAAAGTATTTGTTTAATTTTATTTCTGAAAATACATTAATGAAAATGCAATAACACTTGTATGACTTTATTCTAGTAAAGTTTCTTCAACTCTGTTTAAAATTTATATTATCAAAAATAGTTTCATGTTTATTAAATGAGCTAATCAAATCAAAACCTGCACACAAGGTTGGGCAAGTATGCGTTGTTAAATCTACACAACTAGGACACAAGGTAGGTACAATTTAATTAGCTAACATCAATACTATATATAATACGAAACTTTGTAACTTTACATTTCTTATATAAAATTTAAACTAATAACAGTAATTTATGTTTGTTTAGTTAAAAAATAATGTTTTTGATATATGACGGTAATATATGACTTATCTCTTTTCTAGTTATTTATTAAATGAAATTTAGTAGAAGCTTTGAACATTTAAATGCTTACTTGCTTATTTTTTTTTAATAAAAGATGTTTTCTTAATTAACTAGAACCCATCAGAATAAAACAATGCAAATAGCAGAGGTTTGGGTAACAGAAGTAGGATTTTACTTAAGATATATGATTTTATCCAAAACTAATTTAATTTTTAGTTTTCTATACTTCCTTTTTTCGTAAAAATAATGGTTGAAACAGATAAGTTCTAGGGCAAAATGTTTAAGTTTTTAGAAAAAGTTTCTCTTTTTTAAAAAATTAATATTTAATAATTTATTAAACAAAAGGTAATTTGATAACATATTTTATATGATAATAGAAACTTTTTATATGATTAATATAAATTTTTTATGTAAAAAAAAGTATCCGAAAACCTTGCTAATGTTAAACTTTCTATTTCTTGAACTTTTTTCTCATAATCAATGTTTTGATGTAATTTATCAGCATAAAGTTTCTCACAATTTTCTTGTAGTAGCTCTATTAACTACAGGAAATAAAATTCATATATATTGCAAAAAAAAAAAAAAAATTCATAAAAAAAAAAAAAGTTTTGTTGAAACTTTAAAAATCTTGCATTTCTTTTATCTTTCATTTCTGCTTCACATGACAGCTGAATATCTCTTGCATCATCAACTTCACTAAAATGATGTAATTGTTTTTTTAATTAAGTTGATGT